GTTTTGAAGAATTACACGCGTTTGCAGCTTGTTGTAAATTCATGTACCTTCCATTGTCTAGATTGACCAGATTATTTGATTTTTGAACGTTATACTATCGTTTTTTTTGTATTAACGTGAAAGTAAAAAATATACTACTTCAATATTTCAAACAAGTATTTATTACCCAACGACATAAACGACACTTTTTCATAAATGAAGCCATGCTACTTAACAAGGACAACACGCTGGAGGGCAACACGGCAAAGGACAACATGGAGGACAACACTGAATACCACTTGTCGGGGGAGCACAAGCCAACGGAGGAGGACACGGTATAGGACAGGGTGCGGCGGGGGCTACAGGAATGACCTGTCCGATAGGCACCAGTGGGGGAGGGCTGGGGACAATTGGCGGCGGACAAGGTGCCCGAGCGATCAGTGGAACAGAAGGCGGGGGACAACATGGAGGACAACAAGGCATACAACATGGTGGACAGCACGGAGGACAAGATGGTGGGCAGCACGGGGGACAAGATGGCGGACAGCATGGGGCACAAGATGGCGGACAGCACGGGGGACATGACGGCGGACAGCATGGAGGGCCACACGGGGAACAAGATGGAGGACTAGCCGAGCCTCCACAAGGTGAACATTGAGGGAATTTGACATAGGCGGGGTAGCATTGATACTGCTCCAGTCCGCTCGACTTTCCATTTCTGCCATTTTCGTCTCTAACAGCTTGACTTGGTCCGCAAGTGGGATCTGGTTGGGTGAGACATTCTGGAGATCCATGACATTCGGATCGTTGACAGTCATCCTGAAAGAAATGAATGCATTCAGTTGCAGGAAATATTTCGGCAATGGTGGCATTGATGAATGGAGAAGTTACCAAAATATTGATATTATTGAAAATTGATAAGAAGATCAATTTCTCAACAGCTTCTACAACACTTATGCATTGTGTAAAAGCCAAATGGAATAAATTCATTATTTCGGTTACTATACATATTTGAAAAAATCCCGAAACACGTCAAATGTAAATTATAATTTGACTTTCTAGAACGTAAAAATGCGACCCCTACCTTCAACTCACTTCGAATGACAGGTACAACCCCCAATTTTTTTTATAGAAGTATAGGCTTGTGATATATCGTTTGAAAGGTCTCTTCATTCTCTATTCAAAAATGTTATCGCTTTCAAGTTTATTGTAACAATTAGGATAAAATAAATTAAAATCATGTGGTTACCGAAATTCGATAGAAGATACTCGAAAACTAAAATGTAATGCAAACCGTAATGAAATGTAGAATACTGAAATGAACTATGGATGAACTATGGAAGTAGATGTTCAAAATGTTCGCCGCGAACGTCTTGGCAATATCCTGATCTCAAATAAAACTCTAGGCCGACCTAATCGCAAGCGTAATTCATTTTTTTGAGTCACTAAATCTGTATCTGTAGAGTAGGGAAGGTGAGTGTAAGCCCACGCACTTAGGCCACATGTGACCCATTGTACATCCTCCCGAGGAGGATCCATCCTGTCCTTACCAGGAAGGTGGACAGGTCACTGCGAGACATCTCCTTTATATCTGCAGGTGTAGGCCAAGACTGGCCGAACACACACTCTCTTATTGACGAAAACTCCGGACACTCGCANATTGAAGGGGTTATATTTTTAGGAGTGATTAATTTTTTGGGAAAGAAAGTTAGTGGCTTTCTACTACTCCATCTGATACAAAAAAAGGGATGAGAGAATCTTCCAAAGGAAGGAAGGAAGTAATATCTTCTTACATCTACTTAGCTGACACTTATCATTATTTTGTATTTTACTAAAAACTATTTACCATTGGACTTGTCATATGAAATAAATAAATTCGCCATGTTAGTTGCAGTAAATCTGAACACCCGAATCTTTCTCCCAATAAAACTTTCGAACAAATCACAATGTTAATAAGTCATAAAACAACTACTACCTGCAAGCCATTTCTTTTGACACAGTCGCATCCGACATAAAGAACGCTGCCTCTCAGTTCTCTAGACTTAGACCTAGGTCCACCGTTGTTCTTCCCCGTAGGCCTTCTGTAGCACACCATCATCTGGGGAGGATTACACGGAACACAGGGTTGTTCTTCGGGATTTGGATTACATATTGGCACACATGGAGGAGGCACGGGAGTACAAATCGGCAAAATAGGCGGCACACAAATCGGTGGGGACGGTTGTGGAGAGGAAATGGGAACACTCTGTGACTGAGGTGGGCAAGTTCCTGGGGTGCAAGCTGGGGGGCAGCAGGAAGGAGCAGGACAACAAGCAGGTGGTGGACATGCAGGGGGACAGCAGTTGGATATGAATGGGGTGCAGATGGGTAAACAAGGCTTGGGTAGTGGATCGTAGATTTCGATCACGGGTCCCATTGGGCTCGTGACACATGGTTCACAGGGTGGAGGGCTGCAACCACCGTCAATTTGATTAACCAAGTCTTTGAGGCTGGCGAGTAATAATTTTCTCTTCTCGGATTTATCCTGACATGACACTCCCATTTTTTCCTGCGTATTCTTCAACACTTACGATTTTGATTGAGAAAATAAACTGAAATTTGAAATTCAGGCACAAAATTTTGACTTTACGAAAATTTTGACATTTCTTTCATTTCAATTATTTCACGATATTGTAGTAGTCATACCAACCTATAGTCATGAGCTGAATATACCGTTACAACCTACCTCTGGTATTAATCCAGTCATTTAAGCTTAAATTAGGTAAGAATCTCGAAATTCGAGATACGGAGGGCCACACGGGGAACAAGATGGAGGNTAAACAATATACGGCTGATTGTTCCCAAAGTTCTGATAGAATAAATATAGTTTAAAAAGGCTCAAAAACACGCTTTTATAGCATACGAAACTAAAAAATGAAAAATAGATATGGTTTAAAAAAACTAAAAACACGCCTTTAAAGAACATCGAACTAAAAAGGTAAAAGTATTTTAAGCTTGAAACAATAACGAACGAAAAATACTGATACTTTTGTGAAAAAAGCGTGGGCTCTTTGTGTCATATTTTTTGTTTATCTAGCGCCCGGTGCTTTTTTTACAATAATACTAGTATTTTCCGTTCGTTATTGTTTTAAGCCTATTTTTTTTAATATTTTAACTTTTTAGCGTGTTTTTTAGGTTTTTTAAACTATTAAAACAAAGTTTTCCTCTTGTAACGTCTTTGAAATTTTTCTCAGTTTTTCCTTCCTAGGTGTATGCCTTGATAAAATCGCAGGTATCTGAACATAAGTCGCACCACCCTTGGGGGACGAGGTTGACGTAAAAGAGATTCCTGAATCTATTTCTCAAAGGTTCTTGGTAATGTACTAGATTTGGGAATGATGAAGGGATGGCCAAAGGGATGGCCAAATCTAATAATGATGTGTCTGTCCCAGAGGTTCCTAAAATTGAAAATGGCAAAACAGTAAAAGGTATTGTTTAATATTGTTCGGTAACATAATTATCATAAACGACATTCGTACCTATATCAGTACTTGACTTTGATGTCCAGATAAATATCGTTGGTACATCATTCTGTCGCAGAATGGCTACTTATTATCACATCATCAAAATGACTGCCACATAAACGACATTTGCTTTCGTATAGTCTTTTCAATTTGTTAAGCAAATCAGGTCTGCAGCATGGTTCCAACCCTAGAATAAACATCATACAGATTGAACAACTTATTAGGGATCTTTCGGGAATCTTTAAAATTTCTCACTACAATTGCAATTACTGAAGGAGCAAACATTTCCTGACTTCTTCAATAATGTCTATTTTACATCTCCCATTTTCTAATCACTCAATAATAAAACAAACAACAATAGCCAACTACAAAAACTGAAAACAATAATAACAACAGCAAATTAACTAAACACAATGTCGATTTTCGTCCGTTTATTATAACTAATCCGATGCCCGTGGGACCGTCGAATCCTTTGATACTACAGCACTGAATGCGCTGGATGAGAATCCCATCCTAAGAGCGGTTGAAGGTCCTCGGCAACTCGGCCGGATCATGTGGTAAGAGAACCTACTGGTTGTATTCTACTGTGACATAGTAATGAGTTGAAAAGATGCAGAATATTAAAATTTGGAAAAAAAAACTGAACAGCATCAATGTATAAAGTACAAAATTCTCTATCGAGCCATTTGATCAATGTCTGGATTTGAGACAAGTCATTCTGGGAACCTCATCTTTTTTAACAAACTTTTTGTAAAATTTGACAGGTTCAGGGTTCAAAAGTAGTTGCTTTCGAAAGAAGTTTCATTTCAGGTTATGTTTCAAACTGACGCTATTTTATCTAAAAGGCAACGTTGAATCCATACATATTTCATTCTAATATTCACTTTCTGTCAGGTCATTTTCGAAAGTTCTTGCAATTGCGGTGAAATTGTTTTTTAGTAATTACAAAAATATTAATGATCTTTTATTGTTTTATTCATGACAGTTTTCTTTAGCTATACACAAAAAATAATGATACAAAATAGTTTACAATCTATAAAACTGGATTACTGATTCCTTCTTCAGAAGATTTAGTTTAACCTGCTTTTATATATGTTATATTANATTATACGAGCTGTATTTTCAAATGGTTTTCGAATGCTCATGAACCCTAATAAAATAAATCAATTATGCATTTATGCCACCCACCAAAAATAAGAAATTCAACGTTACTGGTATATTAGCCATTTTGTCATCCAGTCAGTCAGCGCCCTCTGTAGTGAATGGGACAATGTGATCTTTCTAATGTCAACGGTTTCCACAAACTTCGTATTTTTGTTTAAATAATTTCAAAATGAATGTTGAGCCTAGTTTTGTTAAAGTTGACTCCCGACAACTTACCAAGAGTCGATTTTTAAATGATCGATTAATTTTACTTGGAAAAATTTGCATTTGGTAGTTCGGTACCGAAATGAAGAATGAAAAATTGAAACGGTAGGTGGCATATTTAGTAGATACCTTTTATTTGTATGACATTCATTTCAGACTTTGTCTTTTATCGAAGGATGGAAAGTTCTGATTTAATTTTTATTTTATCTCGGCCACGGAGCAGTATGGTGACTGAGGAGAAGCAAAATATGTACAGTGAAATGTATAATTACTCCAGAACATATCAATCCAAAAATAACCTGAAAATATATTTTTCGGAATGTAAACTAATGACACGGAATATGCAGCAAAATAGGCACCCGCCGAGACATACCTCTTACAAAAAAAGTTCTTCAATTAGATAATTGTAACAGTTGTATTCACACAGAGTTGACAACAATAACAACAAAAATGGCGTCTGTCAAATGAGATCATTAGATCTGTGATTGGATATTAAAAACCGATACATTTGGCAACTCCGCTCTAGACACGAACAATTTTATTGGTCAACAGACACGCGGCTAATTTAAATTCTTACTTGTCGAATTACTCTTTTTTCTGCAAATGTAAAGAGATTTTGGGACCGATTAGGCTTGATAAGTATAATATACCCCTAACTCGATCAGTCTTTAAGCAAACCAATATTGCAAATGGAATATTGCAATAAAACAAAAACATTATACTATCAAGGCTGTGATTCTATATATTTTATCATCATTTTTCCTCATCGGTTTAGAATGATTTCCGTATGCTACTGCAAGGGACAGATTAAGGCAAAAACGTCAGTCATTTCTGAGAATTCAGTCCCTACTATTTTGAAAGTATAGTATAATTCAGGTCAAATATTGCACAAATCAATTCTATAGCACTCAACCGATTGGTCTGGAATTTTGCATACATGTTTAGATTTGATGACAATACTTGATAGTTAATCATGAAGTTACGCCAATATACATCCTAAATTGTATAGGTACTATAAATTTGCTTGAATTTTTGTCATACGCTTCAACAAAAAGCAAATTGCTACTCAAACGAACAAAATGTCACAAAACATGTCAGGTTCCTCCTTACATCTGTAAGGAAGTTCCTGACTCCCACAGCATATCAGCTCTCACAGATATAAATAAAGCCATGGAAAAATGTATGCATGTATAATGTCGTTCACCAAGTTAATTCAATAATTTGCCATGTTATCCTGAAATATTTCTTGGCCTTGGCAAAAAATTGAAATTTTTTGTGTTTCACGCTCTCTCTCTCTGTATGTTACGGTTCCCAAAATGCAAGAGCGGATTTAAAAGATAACAGAAAAGTAATGTATTGAAATCATATATTTATGCACAGCATCCACCCTGTATAACATTCAAAACAATTCAGTTCAGTTTTTTGTGCCTAAAGACAATCAGAATAATTCGACCTTGAATAACGTTGATAGGGAAA